ATCTCATATATTCATATATGCATATATGAATAGATAATACATTACTTAGTCCTACTTATTTTTGAACTTTATAAATTGATATTAAACCATATGCTGTCTTCTGGAACTTCCTTTGTTCATTCAACATAATGTTATTAAGATTCGTTTACTGGGTTGCATGAAGCTATGGTTAATTTTCACTTGAATAATTAATAGAAGCAAGCCAGGCGAATGGTGATTAGAAGAGTATTTCAGGTGGAAGCATAGCATGTGTTAAGGCCCTGGGATGTGATAAAGCATTCCAGCCTTGAGGAACTATATAGAAAAGAACTCCAGGTACTCTAAAGTACTAAGGTTTGGAAGAATAATAAAAATGAATTAGGAGGAGCAGCCAAAGGCCAGACTACATAGTGCCTTATGGCTCATGGTAAGGATCTGGGCTTTTATCCTAAGAGCAATGGACATCATTAGGTAGAGAAATGACATGTTCTGATTGGCCATTTTAAAAGATTAATCCTGCTACTCATAAAGAATACATTGAGAAAAAGAGGTTGTAAGAATCCAATCCTGACATGGGTGCTATTATTGCCCCCCTTTTACAGATGAGAGAACCAAGGCTCAGAGAGAATCTATATATGGATCTAGAGTTCAGAGAGGTTTAGTTTTGAGACATAGATTTAAGTATTCATCAGCTTATAGTCAGAGCCATAGAACTGAATAAGATTACCTAGGGAGAGAATGTAGATAGAAAAGAAAGAAAAAGGGTTAAAGAAGAGCGTTGAGGCACTCTAATATTTAAACTTAGAGAAGGAGAAAAAGCAACTCAAATGGAACAGTGAGTGAAGTAACAGTAAAACCATGAAATTATTTTTACATAGAAGCCAAGAGAAAAAACTTCAAGAAAAGAGCAGTGGTCAGCTGTGCCAAATGTTGCTGAAAGTAAAGTGAATTAAGGACTAAAAAAAAAAGTGGCCCTTTGATTTAGCAACATGGAGGTGGTCAGTCTCTATGTCCTTAGCCATCTTAGGGCATGCACAGAGGAACTTAAGAGGATTATTATTATTATTATTATTATTATTATTATTATTATTATTTATTATTATTATTATTATTATTATTCCTTATTTTGTGTAAAGAAGCTAAAGCTCAGAGGGGTTAGGTAACTTGTCTCAAGCAAAATAGCTAGGGAATGACAAACTTGGAACTGGAAGTCTTAACTCAAAATCCAGTCTTCTCTCCACTACACCACAGCTCTTTCCATATCTGGGAGGTTTTTATTTGGTTTGCTACGTGACTGACTGAGGTCCCATGTGTACTGCAGAGCTGAATTTATTTCAATATGCCTAAAGTGTATATTATGTGCAAAGCTCTTAGCAGTAACTACAAAAGATTTGAAGATGACTATATTCCCTATTCTTTTCTCAACATCCCCATGGCTATTTCAGGTGGGTACTAGACTAGTCAGGGGGATCACGTTGTAAATTATATAAATGTCTAACCACACTTTAAGCTAATATAAAATAATATTGAATGTCAACTGTAATTGAAAATTTTTAAAAAAGAGGGAAAGGTGAAGGGGAAAAGGAGGTTAAAATCTCCAGGTACAAAACAATTAAGTCATGGGGATGTAATGTACAGCACAAGAAATATAGTCTACAATATTGTGATAGCATTGTATGGTGTCAGATGGTTGCTGGACTTATCATGGTGATCACTTCTTTAGGTATGTAAATGTTGAATAACTATGGTGTACACTTGTAACTAATATAATATTGTATGTTAGCTATATTTTAATAAAAATCTTTACAAAATGATTTCACAGACATAAAACATTATAAAAACGATTTGAAAATGAAAAAGACAGACCATAGTACCAAAGAGCTTGTACAGTCTTGTAAGATAACATCTGTATAACTATGATCTAAGAATACGTGGAAGTAACAGAAACATAGAAAAGTGAGGACATGGGTTAGATCTGGAGCAATGACTTGATGGGGAAGAGCTTGTTCATCTTCCTATTTACTGCTATATATTCACTATGTACCTGGCAAAAGTTGGGCTCAATAAATACTTGTTATAATACATATTGAATACCAACTTTTTGACTGGCAACTTGTGATTATATAGCAGTAAACAGGAAGTAGACTGGCTAGCATAAGTAATAAAAGAAAAAAATTAGGAGACTAGGATACTTATTGAAAAGATAGTAGGATATCTCAGAGTTAAGGGAAGAGTTGACTCAGAAAGGACAGGAATAAGATCAGTTATGGGTACAAGAACAATATGAATTTATAGATCTTCTATCCAGCTTTAATGAGACTTTCCCCACCAGTAACCCCAGACTCTGTTTCAATTCAAAAGGCCATATACTTGGGAGAAATTGATTGTCCCAGTTGGGTCAGGGATCTTCCCCTGGAATAAGTTATTATGGCCAATAGGGAAGGTTCGCATACCGCAGACATTAGACATGGCCATTACAAAACAACCTATGATTTCAAACCACTTCCAAAGAAGGGAAATCCTTGGTAATTGGACATCAAAACATCTCATGTAATATATACTAAATCTAATATCAAGAGGAATGACATTAAGGAAATGCATTCATTTCCCCCAGAAGATTGATATTCCAAACCTTTTTCTGTCATAAGAACTTTCTGATATCAAAAGGAAACTGACAGAATTTCTGAGATAGAAGAAGCCTTTAGCAGCCATCAATTCATTCTCATTGTATGATAAAAAAATATGAGATCTTTGCATGCAGTTTTACATGTAGTCCCATAGCAAGTAGGTGGTAGTATTGGGTGATGGGAAACTTCTGACCTTTAACTCTGTGGGCCCTTTCTCTGCCTATGCTCCAGAGTGCTTAGCACTGTGCTGAGAACATAGCCATGGTATCTTTCAAACTCACCACAGTATCATGCTCAGGTATAGCCAGCAACCTAGCAAGAGATATCTGTCATCCATGGCCAGAAGTCCAGAGAATTTGGCCCAGCTGAGTAGCTTCTATGAGTAGGCAGATAGCCAAATTAGGGCACAGAATTGATAAGCAATCAATGATTCATCAATGACAGCTTAAGAGAGGCCTAAAAGACAAGATTTATCCTCCTCAGTTTTCTCTTCTTAAGGCTAAACAGCCCTAGATCCTTCCATTGGAAAAGAGAAGTGACTGCCTCATATGACTTATATCAAGGTCTTGATTAAATCATCCTTTTTACTTTATGTAACAAATGTCCCTAATTACAACTGCTTTTCTTCATCTTTAACCAATTAACATCCAGCAAACCAGGGGGTCCTCTCTTCTCAATCTCATGACTGAATATAAGGTTAGTTTAGGAAATATAGTGTAGTGGGAAAATATATGTATCTGGAGCTATACTACCTGGGTTAAAAATCTCAGCTTCACCATTTCCTAAGGGTGTGATTTTTGGCAAGTCGCTCTATCTCCTTGGGCTTTTGCTTTCTCTCTTGTAAAATGAAGATAATAATAATGCCTACTTCATAGGGAGGTTGTGAGAATCAAATGAGTTAATATATCCTTTGGGGTATGAGACAGCATATAGAAATATTCTGACCATAAACTAAGAAACACATATAAAGATTCTAATAATTTTATGGCCAGGCCTTCAAGAACTATGCTCCCTAGCACTGACTTGAGAAAACCAAAGACATTTAAGTCAACCACCAGCAATCAACTGCAAACCCTAAAAGCCAAGATAAAAGTACACTACCACTAGGTCACTGCTCAAACTACCATTGCTAACTTAGCTCAGAGGCAAGGTATCCAGATGGATGTTTTAAAGGGGAATAGATGGGGGCAAATGGTTCATAACAGGTGTGTCTTTTCGCTGCCTTCTTTTTTGGTTTGATTATTGTTTAAAAACAGATAGCACCCAAATAGATCCAAGAAGATATCATCTTCAATCATTCTTTCAACAAATATTGAGTCCTTACTATATGGCAGCCACTGATCAGTATACTGATAGAGCAGAGAACAAACAGATGAAGTCCCCGCTCTTATTGAACTTATCAGTGTTATGATAAAAACAAAATGGGATAAGGTCAAAGAGAATGCCTGGGCCATGGCAGTTACTTAATTTGGGTGGTCAGGAAAAGCTTTCCTGAGATCTGAAGGATATTGGAGCCCACCATGGGTAGAACCAGATAGAAGTAAAAGGAAGTGCAAAGTTCCTGAAGTGAGACAGATCTTAGCATACTTGAATAAAAAGGAGATAAGTGTGGCTAGTGGAGAGTGAACAAGGTTTTTATAAATCAAGTCAGAGGTAGGCAGGGGTTGGATCTAAAGATGGTGGCTGGGGCCAGAGTGGTAGTAATGAAAATGGTGAGAAGTGATCAGATTCTGGACGTATTTTTAAGACAGAGCCAACAGGATTTCTTTAAGTGTTGGATGTGAAGTATGAGAGAAAAAGAGGGAGTCAAGGATGGCTCAATGATTGTTGCTGTGAGCAACAAGGTGATGCCATTAACTGGAATGGACAACTGCATTAAATATGGTTTCTGATGGGTCGGGTCATTCTGGAGTTCCACTAATAACCGTGGGTGGGACCTCAGGGCCCTTTTCTGACTTTGAACTGCCTAGTTATGGAATGGGGTGGTGGTGTGGGACTGCTGTTTTGGGTGTATTAGAGGCATGGAGCTCATTTCTGGGAATCCCAGCCCTCTCTCCCGCCTCCAATTGTTGTCGGAAATCTGGAGACTTATGTAGACGAGAGAGAAGACAGAGCATACCGGGCCAGGCCAAACAGAGAGGCCCCAGAGACAAGGGATCTGCTGTAGCCACTTCCCTCCATAAACTGTATGGAAGTGGACCGCGCCAGAGAGGGTGCTGCAAAAACTTTCTTGGTGATCTATTCTGGCAGCCTAGGGAATCACTTTCACCAGAAAGAGTAAGGAAAAGAGATGGGGTTTGGTATGGCTTGGCCGGGCCCAACCGGAAGGAGTTTGGGTGGAGTCGACTGTGAAAGCTTCGGAGCAGAGGGGGAGGGGAAGCCGCCACTAGCAACTAACCTCAGCTTCCTAAACTCAGCAGAAAGGTCGGAGGCATTGTTGCAAAGGCCAGAAGCCCCATGATTCTGTCTGCTCGCCAAAGACGGACGAAAACCGAAGTTGTGCGATGCAGCTTTAAAGGGGCTGGTGATTGACAGAATGTGTAGCAGTGGATGGGGTGGAGCCGCTGGGTGGGGTCTGACACCGGCAGCTGGGAGAAACCAAAAGGAGGAAAAAAGAAAACCATTGCCCTCTGATATCGCTAATGCTGGGCGGGGTAAGCTAGCTAGAAAGGGAGGAAAAGGAGGGTTTTAGAGCTCACCTCCACTCACCCATAGTCAACTCTCTCAAAACCTTCTGTCTCATTTTGAGATAATTAAAATCGAGTATATACCGGCCCTAGTCGGTGCCCATTCCCTCTAACTCTCCAGTGAAGTAGGTTCGTAGTACGAGGGAGTGAGAGCCCCGAGTCCATCAGTTCAACCCCAGCCCCGCCCCGTCCGTTGGCCCTGGCCCGGGGCTGGGAGGAGAGGATGCCTTCGGAGGCGCAGAATCCAAAAGTAAGTCCCTTTCGTTTTACCTACCCAACCCCTCCCCCTTTCTTTTGCCCCCATCACTGGGGTATCTGCTGGACAGCGAAGGAGCCACCTTTTAGAAGGAGACTCTTTCAAGGAAGACCCGGAGGGTGGAGCAGGGTGGGGTAAGAAAGGGAGGGAAGGGGAGGAGGGGTGGCGCTTTAGAGCCTAGGGGAGTTGCTACCTACGGAATAGGCACGCTCAGAGTTTGATGTTTGTATGGTTAGATCCTCAATTTCCCTACCAGTCATTAGAACCTCCACTTACCCTTTCAGGCATTCTTTCTTTTTGTCACATTCCAGCATCCTCACTGGGTTGCTTAAAGCCTCTAGCTGTGAGTTGGAAGGCTCCATCTTGCCTGGCTTCTTAAAGAGACAGTGCACTAGTTCAACTGAGGGAAATCTGTGCTGGAAATTCAATTTCCAGAAGGATGGTAATGACTCACCTTACTATGCTACTACGAGTGTTGAGGGGATTTGTATGGAAAGGACAGATTTTTCTCCCTCATACCAGCCTCCAAACTTGGTTCTAATATCCAGTTGATTCACAGAACGTGCACACTGGGTAGTATTGCCAAGTTGCACATTAGTTAACTGCAGTAAATTGGCAGTTTTAGCTGAAGGCTAAAATTTCTGTTTCCTGAGACTTGCTGTGGCAGTGCAAATGAGAAAAAATTCATTCACTCTACAAATATTATTGTCAGATTCATTGCCTGTGGCTGATTCCGCCGCTGAGTGGTTTCTATAATGTGTCAAGACCACGTAGAGTGGTGTCACTGACTCTTTTCTTAACAAATTATTGGCCAAGGTTTCTTTCTAGGATATAGAGATGAATGTTGAATTTGATTCCAACATTTACCAAGCATCTGTCACATGAAAGTTCCATTGGTTCACATTTATTTTCTTTCTGTTAGTACCGGGTATCCATATGTCTAAGCCCAAGGGACTGGGAGATCCAGCCGGAAGAGATAGGAACCCAAGTCAAAATGGCATACAAAAGGAGAGGGGCAGGATGCTTCAATAGGGAAGCTAAGGCCACCTTAGCTGATCTGCCATTCCCATGTCCATGTCCAGTCAGGAATATTGTGTTGAGGAGTAGGGCTTCACTAGCTCCACTCTGATGGTAAATAAAATAACTGGTGTGGTGGACACTATTAGAAGGCCTCAGGCAGACCAATGACATCTCTTCCATGTTTATCTCTCTCATGTTTCTGCTTAGGGAGGGTAGCAGGACTGGATGGAGCCTAATGATATCCAACAGGTTAAAGAGATAAAACATGTTGTTTGAGGTTTTAGGGCTAGTATTTCACTCTGAAAGTTTCTATTTGGTCAATGGAATACCACAGCTCCTAGTGCTCTGCAATATACTAGTTCAGCTGTCTCTAGTATTAAATGCAAGTCACAGGGCCGTCCTTCTTTAGTGTGCTGGTTTCATTACATCCCCAGTGCCAACTCCCATCAAGGGCATGTGTTAGCTCTAGGTTCCTAGGCAACATTTAACCTTCTCCCATGCCCTCTCTCCTCAATTGGTTGTCCAGACCTCGAAATGATTTTATTGTGAATGGCCATATCATCAAGTCCACTGGATTTAGATAAAGAAGAAAGCCTTACTTAGGGTTCTTTCTCCCCAAAGTCATTGGCCTATGGGCTCCTAAAAACAAGGGAAATATGAAGTCAATTGGAACTCTTCTGATTACTTTCGTCAGTGGGAGTACAGTCTTGTCCTAAAGCCAAGAGCCACTTGTACATGTCACACCCACTGAACTCTGCTGTACACACCCTTGCTTAGAGGGTGGGGAAGGAACTATGTTCTGGTTCCATAGCCAGCCACCTGCATTTGGTATACATGAAATATGTTAGAGACTGCTAAGCTTCCATTTTAACATTTGATTGTCCCTTTGTGTTCATATTGGTTTGTTTTTCTTTGAGAGAGTTTCTAGGTGCAGGATATGGGAACTAGCCAGTTCTTAGCAGTAATGATAATAAAATATCATTACTGAAAGATGATTTTCTTCCTATGACAGAGAAAGGTTTGTGAACCCACGAACAAATACCATAGGCAAGCAATATAAATCCTCCAAGGTCTTTGAGTGGCTTCCCCAGAGCAATTTAAATTGTTTGGTGTCATTCATTCTGCTTTCTGGGATTGCAGAGAATTTCTGTATATGTGAAGGCAAAAAGGGTTTCATGGGGTGTAATTGCAAAATGGACACTTTGTGTGCTCGCTCGCGCGCGCGCTCGTGCTCTCTCTCTCTCTTTCTCTCTCTTTCTCTCTTTCTCTCTCTGCATTTCACTAGTAGTTTTGATCCCCAATCCCCCTCCTCAAATGCCTATATCCGATAGGCTAGGCTGTTCTGGCCTAGACTAGAACAGCTTGCTGATACATTTACTTTGGTCTAAGTTCCTTCCTAGTTATTGCTCAGCCTTCAAGAGTAGAGAGCTGTGATAGACAAAGGTATCAACACAAAAGTACATTATGTTCATTATGTTGTGATATTCATTCATTCATTCATTCATTCATTCATCAAATACTTACTGAGAATCCACTCTGTGCCACCATGGCATAAGACTGGGGAATTTTAGCAATGAACAAAACAAAGTCCCTGCCCCCTTGGAGATTATATTCTAATGAGGATGTGTTGATGGAGGACAGTAAACAACAAATATGTTTATTGGGTGGGGATTAGGTGGGAGAAAAAATATAAGGCACTTGGGATTGGGGAGATCTATTTGACATAGAATAGTTAAGGAGAACTTCTCTGATATGGTGATATTTAAGAATATAACTGAATGAAGCGAGAGAGCCAGGCATGAGAATACCTGAGGGAAGGGTGTTCTATACAGAGGAAATAGAATGTGCAAAGGCTTGTTGTGTTCAAGGAATAGCAGGAAGGCCAGTGTCATTGGAGTAGAGAGGTGAAGAGTGTGGTAGGACATTCAGTCAGAGGGACAGTAGGGCCTGATCATATAGGTCCTTGCAAAGATTTTGACTTTTAGTCTGAGTAAAGTAGGAAGCCAGTTTTTAAAGAAAATAGTCAACAATTATTTTACTTAAAATTCTGCTCTAGTAAGGAGGATGAATCTTTAGTTGTTCATTTTAACACAATCAAGATGGTTTATGTTTTTATGCTTTGGATACAATATTCTTTTAAAGAAAGACTTGGTAAGCTTATTGCTGAATTCATGTCAACTAATACAATTTAATTTCATATTAACCATTTTTATAACATAATTATCTGAAAAAGGTTTCAAACACATTTGAAACTACTTAAATTAAAAACAAAGTCTTTTCAACATACTTTATAATTAAACATCACAATAAATTTATTAGAAGAATGTTTAACCTTTTTAAGAAAACATCTCAAGATTTTGTAGCACTGTTTAATTCTATCATGAAATTGTGAAAATTATTCATCTGGAAACTTTTTTTTTTTAACTTTCAGTCTTGCTGGCACACATGATTTCTTTTAAACTTTCTAAGCTATTCACTATCCTTCTCTCCACGTCCTTCCCAGTGGGGTAATGTGTTTCAGGTATTATTTCATTTAATCCTCACAATAACCTTGTGAGGTAGGCACTATTATCATCTCCTTTTTATAACAAGGAAACTGAGGCACAGAAAAGTAACTTACCCAAGGTCACACAGCTATTAAGTAGAAGAGGATCCATTCTCTTATATCTTCTAAGAGTCGTTCCCTCAGCTTCCTTCTTTCCCGTCTTCAGTTTCTTTTTCTTCTTTGGTTCTCTCACGCATCCAACCATCCTCACCTAATATAGCTAACATTTATTGAAGACCTACTCTGTGCCAAGCCCTCTATTGAATACTTTACATGTGTCAGTTCATATAATGCTCACAACAATCCCATGAAGTAAATACTATTATTTCATTCATTTTTCAGTTAGGGAAATTGGGGCACAGAAAAATTAAGCAACTTGCCCACGTTTGCACAGCTAGTAAGTGACAGAACTGAGATTTGAACCCAACTATACATAGTCTATACTACCTAATGTTCAGCTTGCAAACACATTCTTTCCCTGGTCTAAATCAATCTTTCTTTAACAACACTCACTCAAATTACCACTCTGTTTTTCTGCAGTTTCTGTTTAAATCGTTAATGAAACTATTTTTGCAAAGTTACCTAAAGATCTCCCAATGTCATGTCCAGTGCTCTCTCTTTAGGATTTCAACAAACTTGACTCTACTCCATTTGAGGCTGTTGTACATTCCTTCCTTCTTTAAAACCTTCCCTTCCTTGTCTTACATGACAATACTCTATGTTGGATTTCCACCTAACTCTCTGACTGCTCTTTTTATTCTTTTCTTGCCACTGTATAATTCTTATTTGGGCTATCTCATCCAACAAAGAGTTTCAGCTGCCATTTAAATACCTGTATAACAAGTCTTCACCTCTAAGCTGTTTTTTTTTCCTTAGCATGGACCCATCCATTCATCTGTTAACTGAGCATCTTAACACATCTTGACACGTGACACTTAATAAGTCTGAAACAGAATTTATCATCAAATCCTCCACTCCCATTTCTATCCCTGATCAACAATTACATAACCAACCAAACAATAAAGCCTAGAGTCATCTATGATTCTCCTTCTCCTTCCCTTCCAGATTTGGTTCTTGAATCTTTGCATCCTCTCCATCCCTACTTGTAGTGTCTTTGCTTAATTTTTCATCATGTCTGACCTGTCCTATTAAAATAGCTTCTTTACTGTTATTTTATCTGCTTCCAATTTCTGTGACCTTTGCTCTGGGTTGAATTATGTCCCTCAAATTATGTTGAAGTCCTAATTTCTGATACCATAGAATGTGACTTTATGTGGAGACAGGGTATTTATGGAGGTAATCAAGTTTAAATGAGGTCACTATGACAGGCCCTAATCCAATATGACTGGTATCCTTATAAAAAGGGGAAATGTGGACACCAACACAGACTCACATATAGGGAAGATGATATGGAGAGACAAAAGGAGAA